GTTCAACATCACAAACCGCTGGTTGTCCCTCTTCCTCTCCCTCACAGCTCGTCTTCCTCCTCACTCTCAGGACTGTCCCTCTCTGCATCCTCTCCAACTAACTCCTCTGTCTCTCTGTCATCCTGCTCCTCATCATCTCCATCCTCTCTCTCTACATCGTTCTCTACTGGCCCCTGTCTAAACCCACCTGTGCACAGGGGGGGTTATGTTCAGGGATTTATGATGTTTGTAGTAAAAGAAGAGCAGCTGAACCTCTCGTCTTTGTTTTTCTTCTCTTTGACGATGATCCGTCCATCATCTGACGTCTTCTTTTCTCACTGCTGAGCAGACTGCAGCTGATCGCTCGCTGCACATGAAACACAGAAAGATAAATAAACCAGTGCAGGTTTTTGCAGGTAGAACAGCTGTTAGCAGTGCTGCCACACATGTGATATAAAGAAGAGTCGTAGCATCACAAACATCTTTCTTAGAAACTGGCAGCAGTTTTCAGCAGCTCACATTTTACTACAAGGTCCAAAACCAAGACTCTTTCTAACGTTACACACTGTGGTGAGAAATGAGCTTCACACATCAGTCCTGTGGAGCTCAGGGTCAATGTTGTAGCTGAGATTCATTTACATGATGCTTGGATTCATTCACTGAATTCTACTTTTACTCCACCTGTTTGCTGTCTGGTACAAACACACTATAAACAACACTGTGTGAAGACACTATGGCAGGATAGCTCGTGAAACATCTGCTCACATCTGGTTGAATTCAGTTGTGTACATCCACAAAGAGCAGCAGGTCAGCTGATCACAGCCTGGACACTGAAAACCTGAAGCTCACATTAGAAACAACTCTGATTATTTTCCTGTGCTGAGCCACTACAAACACTTTTAAGGTTCCCCACCTGCTGAATCCACTTTAACCCCGACTGTACATATAAAACATCTTTGTTTTCCTCTGTTTCCTGCTGTTTTCCTCTGCTCATGTTCTACTTCACTGATTCAAACTGAGGATCTATATTAGAATGAACATTTAGACTGAAAGAGTTCATCAGAAATCCAGAAATGTGTGTGTTGGACCAAACAGTGATTTCTGATGTTTCTGTGTTTTTCTCTAATAGTTATATTGTTAAACAGACTGTAGTGAACAGGATTTATGAATGAGTTATATATAAAATAAAGAAATGAGCTGTTGTTGAAGTATCTTGATGACACCGTGTAATTGTACCACATTGTAATTAATTCAGTCCTTTGTGGTGACTTAAATATCCTCATACAACTGTGATGTTATATTTCTTCAAACTTCTCGGCCACATCTCATTTTAAAAGGACATTTTAATATTAATGACACTTTTACCCATATATATGTGCATACAAGTATATACAGGTGCGACCAAATGTTCGGGTAACAAAAATAAATAAAAAATCCCTGCAACCCTCCGTGTGGTCAACAACAGACACACATTATGCCCCTATCATGGACTATATATATATATATATATATATATAAAACAAATAACAAATATAACTGATTGCAGTTCTATTCTAGTGACAGAAAAATTATTTCTGGCTCAAAATAAGTGGATATCGTTCATGAGAGATATATAGACCTATTTAAACAAGTCTCGTTTAAATTCCCGCGATGATATCTGGCAAATTCCGGAAATTACGTAATGGCATCTGATAGGCTGAAGGGTTGGGGCGGTCCCCGCCAAA